ATTTAAGTCTGATTTCGTGCATAAATCCGTACGCTCAAAGCACTAAATATTACATGTACGAAAAAGTATACTTTTCCAGTTAGTGTTTAGTAAAGGTAAATAATGTACATAAATTTGTTTTTGTTCTTCACGATTTAAATATAACAAAGGTGACGTAAATTTACGGCATGCTTGCTAGTCGGTGAGAACCGAGGGGTGCCCAAATGTGGCAATCAGGTGTACACAGGCTTGGTAATCCTTGGTAATCCCTGGTAATCCTCACACCCGTAAGTGTCCTTTAAAATGACAAAGTTGTTGATTTAGACATTAATTTTTGTGCACATCTTGCCTAAATGCCAACGGGCATGTTTAATATGGCATCTTTGCATCCCTCCCATGGACAAAATCATGATTTGGCCAATCATAGAATGCAAATTTGTAACTAAAGTACATGCAATTGCATGATAAAGAATCAAGAACTACCTAAGAGTTGCATAAAAATGCATCTTTCTCGAAACAAAAAATGGCCGTTTCGATTTAGAATGCAGGTGGATCATACCTAGTATACATAGGTAATGTTTGGTAACCTTTGGTAATCTTTGGTAATCATTGGTAATCTTTACAATTTGGTAATCCGGTGTACACATGTTTATGGAGTAAGTTACCCACACTTAGAAAAAAAAAGTGTAGGAAAGATTTAAAATTTTTTTAGGAAAGATTTAAAAACTTGTAAAAGTGAGTAACTTTACCAAATTCTAATTTTGTCTGCTTGCTGAACATACGGGCGATTTTTGCTATTGGTAACGCCGACTACTTGCTTGTTCGATGTCCACGATATTGGCGGTGCCGCGCGGCAGGCTTGTCAGGCCTGTACATGACGAATGGCGCGGCCCGTCAAACAAGGTTTAAGGAGCGAATTCAGTGCGACGTGATATACTGCGGGTCAGCAGAGGGGGGCCCGGGTGCCCGTCCCCTTGCTCGCCCCGCGCAGGCTATCGGTGACACCAGTGGCACCATGAGAGAAGGGCGACTTCTAGGCTGATGCGCCTCTGCGTAAGAGTTGGGAAAATGTGGACTTTCTGCCGCCGCCTCCCGGGAATTTTCCATGCTCGCTCCATGTTTGAGGGAAGGGGTCTGGAAACAGGGTTCATCTCGGCTGTGCACTTGCGAGTTGTTGAAACCCAATTTGAGCCTGGCCACGCGGGGTGGCGGTCTGGCCTGCGCCTGCCCTAGATTGCAGGCCTTACACAACTTGTCTGTGAGTCCTCTGCCCGCGACGCCTAGCCGACGGCAACTTGTTTCCTGCGGGAGCAGACACGGAAATGGTATAGGAGAGACAAGATCTGTTCGCCCTCGCCGCAAGCCGTCCTCTGCTTGTCCCTGACGCACGTTTGATGGATTACAACATTCTTTGCTTCCAACGTTGCAAAGAATTCCTGTAAATTGCAAAGAACGTGTTCGAACTGCGAAGGAACTCTTCGCAAACTGTCAGAATCCTTACAAACTGTGCGTCTTTCTATTGCAACTTTGCGAACAACTAGTTCGTATTACAGCGTGTTAGATTCCTTTGCAAGGGTTTGACAGTGCCTTGCTGTTGGTCGGAGTGTAGCCAACTCGACGAGCGGAGAAACGCGGCCCTAATCATTCGGTATCGGAGTGTTACAAAGTGGGCGCCTGCCCCGCTCCCCGTGCCGCCACGTGCCGCCTCGGGGGAGGACGACAGGGCCAGACAGCAAGGCGGGGGTGCCCTGCCCACTGCAGAGTGCACGCGGCGGGGCGCGGGCGAGGCGCGGGGGTTGCAAGTGCAGGCACATTTTATTGAGTGAAAAATTAAGTCGCCTCACAGAGAGCATAGCATATTGTCGGACTCTTCACGAGATGTCGAAGGGGGGGTGTTTGGAGGAGGGTGCATAAGGAAGTGGCGTAGAGCAAAGCGGGGGCTGATTGTCTAAAATGAAAAAGTCGGCCTTACTGGCAGTGCACAGCGCACTCTGCACGGCCGGGCGGGGGCGGCGCAAGTTTGCTTTACTTTGCGCCGCAGTCGGGAAAGAAAGCGGCGGGGCAAAGCTTTTCGATGTCAAAGCCGGGATGATAAGCGCGAAAGTTTCTGCCGCCGAGGATTCCGGCGCCTCTACCCTCAATAACAATGAGCTTTGCCTTTGTCGGGCTCAAGTTGTTGAGCTGATAATGTTGATGCAGTACAGTGGTTTTGGCTTCTCTGCCCTGCAGCTGCTTCTGGCCGTGGTTGTGGCGGTCGTGCTGAGGTCCCTCGGCAACATGGACCTGCCACCGTGTGTGGATCCCGGGCGAGCGCCTGCGACTGTCGCCGCTGCTGTGGTGCCACGGACTGCGCGTCGAGGCCTTGGAGCTCACTGGTGTGTCAGTATGCTTGCCCACCCCCTACCCCCCTGATGTAGTACCTCTAGGCGGCCCTAGAGCTCATGTACCCTAGGTTATATGTACACCCCCTCCCCTCGATGATATCCCTTGCGTAAGTCAGGTTACTCTTCTTTCCGTCTGTGCACGGTTTTCTCTGCTAGTGCTGCACGTGCATGGTTTGGTCTGCTGGTTTGGTTGTGGGGCTGATTGGTTTGCGGCCAGCGCTGGTAAGTAACTGGTACTTCTCTGTCTGTAGGTGACGAGCGCCGTGACGAGGAGCTGCGGCTGGTGGTGACGGAGAGCCACTCGCTCAGGGATAGAGCGTTTCCTTGCGGTGTGTGCCGGGCGAGTTGTGCCTCTGAAAGAGACTTGGTCAGTCACGTGATCAGCACGCACAAGAAGCCTTACAAGTGCGGCGTGAACATGTATGCTTATACTTTCCATAAATTACCTGAAATTCATTTCTTAGCGTATGTCCGTTTTAATGTAAATCGCAACCCTATCACATGTAGGCTCGTTTTAAAGAGAATTTAAAGACGAAGAAAATGGCACCCTCGGAAATAAAATTTTTGTTCATGGTTAGAAAATTGCAGTTTGAACTGCAGAACTCATCAGTTTCGCAGTTATAACTGTCAAGTTGTTATACACTTGGGTTTGCAGAGTGTATGTGTATAGGCTTATTTTTATGGGATTATCATTGCATGTGTTCTATGCGCTGGTTTTACAAAGCACACCTTTACCTCAAGATTTCTTTACATTCTGCTTAAATATTTTTGGGACAGGACAGGGACAGGTGTATATGTTTCTCCAATCTCCGAGAGAACAGATGTACACTGTTAACTCATCAGTGTGCATGGGCATGCACACAATTGCTCTGAAAACTTAACAGCTGGATCTATTCCTTTCAGACAGATAACTATCACATTTTCAGTTTCCGCGGGAGAAGAGCTCTCAAACAAGCTACCATGTCTTAGAGTTCAAATCGACCACTACTGTAACTTAACGTTACCGAAGTATTTGAAACAGTTTCAGTAGTAGTCAATTTGAACCCTATCACATGGTAGCTCGTTTGGAAGCTTTCTTTACGAGGAAAGTGGAGATGTCTCGCACTTTCCAAAGTTACGCGTATGAAAGGAAAATGTTGAGTTTTAAGAGCAATTGTGTGCATGCCATGTACACTGTTGAGTTTTCACTGTATTTATGAAAATTAATGGTATTTACCAAATATACGTTCTGCTCAACTTTTGTGACATGCATTTGGAAACATATCAAACAATGCTATTGTACCGTACATGTAAGCTGCAAGAAGAATAAAAGTTAACAGTAAATCCGAGTTTTTAATGCCACCCTCATGTTTCGCTTTTAGACAAGGAGCTCAATAGCGACCATCCGCCGTGCACGTGCATGCTGTTGCCAGGTGGGCTCTTCTGCCAGCTCTCCCGCTTGTTCTAACGCTGTGCTCTTGTTGCAGGTAGAGAGTACAGGAAGCAGCCGCGACCGGCGCTAACCGTCCGCTCCCCGACGTCTACTTCCACTGGTGCGCCCTTCGAGTCGGATGTGGAGATCAAGGAGGAGAAGATCGCCGTGCCGGAGGACGGTGCGGACGAACAGCTGGGGCTGGTGGTGGCCGGGTGCTACTCGCTCCACCGCGCAGAGGCCGACGGGGGCCGTAACGGAGGACACGAAGACGAGCACCGGGAAGACGGCGAGCCGGAAGAGGCTGAGAACGAGGGTGGCTCCGGTAACCAGGACGATGGGGAGCAGGAAAGAGATCGAGTGCGGAAGAAACGTGTCCCGAGCGGCAGAAAGACATACGAGTGTGGAGAATGCAAGAAGCGTTGCAACAGTAAAAGTAACCTTACTATGCACGTCAGGATCCACACTGGCGAGAAACCATTTAAATGTGGCATTTGTAAGATGCGTTTTAACCAGAAATCAAACCTTATTTCTCACGTCAAAATCCACACTGGCGAGAAACTCTATAACTGTGACATTTGCAGTAAGGGTTTTATCTATAAATGTTTCCTTGATCGCCACGTCAGAACCCACTCTGGCGAGAAATCATTTGAATGTGACGTTTGTAAGATACGTTTTGTCTACAAAAGCAGTTTGGTTAAGCACGTCAGGAAATCCCACAGTTACGAGTAGCCGTTGTGCCATGTTTAGGTAGAGTTTTCTGCACAAATCTATTTTTTGTCGTAACACCGGACCACACTATACAGCTGATAACCTATGGAATTTTGGTCACTGCCATAAACTACTTTACAATCTTATTTTGCTTAGTCATGTCATTTCCACTTTTTATTGTTACTCATTTCGTTTTGCTGAAGGAGGCAGACGCACTGTTCTTTCGTCATCTAGCTATGCTTTAATTACGATTTAACTACATTGTATTTTCTGAACAATAAAATGAAACTAAACCCTCTGTTTATTTCTCTTTGCAGATGTAAGTTACTGATGCACTTGTAATTATGCCGCAGCATTCATGTCCTGCTTCCGGCTTGGAACGCTTAATGCAGTTGGCAGTCGGTGCAACTGCATCCTGGTGCCGGCTGACTCTCATCGGCTCTTTCGGCAGTTCTGACGCGGTGCTCTTGTTGCAGGTAGAGAGTCGCAAACCGCCCGCTCTCCGCAGCCAACTGGTGCGCTTTGCGAGTCGGATTGGAGGTGGGACTATCGTGATCGTCGTGCTGGAGGACGGTGTGGACGAGCAGCTGAGGTCGGTGATATCCGGGTATGTGACTCATCTAACTTGAGCACAAGCTTGAATATTTCGAGTATTTTTTGGTATTTTTGAAATGAAGGTACTTTAAGCAACCGTGAGATTTAGCGTATTGTAGGAACCGGTAGGAACAATTTCATGTGCCGGTGGTAGATGTCGCCCAAAGCTAACTCGCCCCGATTTTGGGGCTGGGGCGAGTCTCCGACTTCTGCCATCTCGCCCCAGTAAAATATTTTTGTCTATTTTTGTTTCTATTGCTGGGCATAATACTGGGCATTGTTGAGCGCCCCCTATAAAGCCCGGCGGCCAGAGGGAGGAGGCAACAGTTCGCGGGTGGCAATGGTGGCAATGCCTAAGAGGGTCGAGATGGGTACTGGGCGACGTCATACTTCATACCGGGGCAAGTTAGACAGGGGCGAGTCGTCCTAGATCTCTGTTGTTATAGCATTCAAACTTTGCTACCAGATTCCCACGCTTTGATGCAGTCGCGTGTGGTGCAACTGCATGCTGGTGCTTTGCTGACCCTCATTGACTCAACCAACAGCTCTGATGCCGTACTCGTGTTGCAGGTGGCAGGTGGAGAGTCGCTGACCACCTGGGACATGGAGGTCGAGGAGGAGAAGATCACCGTGCTGGAGGGCCGTGCGGACGAGCAGCTGGGGCGCTACTGCGCAGAGGCCAACGGGAGCCGTGACGGAGGACACAAGGACGAGCACCCTGAGGATGGCGGGCAGGAGGCGGCCGAGGACGAGGGTTGCTCCGAAAACCAGTACGACGGGGAACAGAAGAGCGTTCCCGCGCTGGATTTGCGTATTCGAGGCGACAAAAAGACGCACGAGTGTGGGGAATGCAGGAAGCGTTTTAGAAAGAAATCTCAGCTTGTTATCCACCTCAGGTTCCACACTGGCGAGAAACGATTTAATTGTGACACGTGTAGCAAAAGGTTTATACAGAAATGTGACCTTGATAAGCACATCAGGATCCACACTGGGGAGAAGCCATTTGAGTGTTACGTTTGTAAGATGCGTTTTAGTGTGAAATGTAACCTAGCTGCCCACGTAAGGACCCACACTGGCGACAAGCCGTTTGCATGTCACGTGTGCAAGAAGCGTTTTATCCAGAAACGTTCTCTTGATAATCACGTTAAGACCCACTAGTCTTGAGGCCTATTAAATGTAGCATTTGTAAGCAGATTTTTCGAGACAAATCTTATCTTCGCTCTCACGCTGAAACACACTACTGAATAAGATTGTAATTACGTAACAATGAATTATTGTTACTTCGTTTGCTGCTTCGTTTGGAATTGCCTTTCTTATGCTCATGTTAGTTCTTAAAAGATAAACCAAGCAAGCTCTTAAAATATAAATATATGTTCCATCGTTGCCCTCCTTTTAACTCCTTCCTTCACGGTGTCACTCTTAAACTCTGTGTGCTTTCATCTCAGAACACAACTCCTACATACATGACAGTATAATACCAGTGTAGAGTAAAGACGATGGTCTCAAGCCGCTGATGCGCGGGGAAGAGGGGGAGCCGGATGGGCGGCGCAGAGTCTACTGCCGCATGCGCAGTTCGCAGGCTGAGATGAATCCAGCGGACCGTCGGCTGTTCGCTTACTTCTCCATTACTCTGAGATGAAAGTACAAACAGTTTTCGAAAACCTAGAAAAACTAGTTGCAGTAAAGAACGAGTTTCCTACATCGCGAGTGGGCAAGCTCCTGCTACTGCTGCACCTCTGATTTTAGCTGGGCTGAGACCCCCGGGTCGGCGTCTCGTTTCCGTAGTGTTGCTATTATTATTGTCATTTAATTCCTTTCGTCGTCATTTCAGGCCGTCTGTTTGGGGCGCGGTGCGGGCGCGGGCTGCAATAACGACCCTGGTAACGCGACAAGGTGAATTTGGCGCAGGAGGGGCCACTTGGGCGGCCATTACATTGCAGCGCGCCCCGCCATGTGATCTGCAGCGGCCGAAGGGAGCACGTCGACTGGCCCTGCACCGCGTGCCGCGCATTGCGTGTCACGTGTGCGAAAATGACATCCGGAAGGACACGGTCAAAACAATGTATCATTTTTTGAGGAAAAAGGGAAAACTTTGAGGAACTCCCATGTTTGAGGAAGAGTCCTCCGATCTCGCCGACAGGCCTCAAATATTCTCAAAAAATGAGGAAAAATCCCACATTCTTTGGGGAGACTTCCTCGAAATCTAAGGAGTTTCTGTCAAAGCAGGGGAGTTCCTCAAAGTTTTCCCTTTCCCCTCAAAAAACGAGACATATTGTTTTCACCGTGAGTGCACAACACGGGGAGGCATTAGTGCCGCTGCCGCGCATCTGATGCCGATGTAAGTGCGTTTACAGCAGTGCGCCGTGTCGTGCGTGTGAAGTTGCGGGTCGGTACCGTTTCGTTTCCTTCTCACTACTGTCGTGCCTACTAACACCACAAACCGCCGCTGCCCTACGAGACAACTTGAGGGATCGGGCGGTGGGGAAGTACCGCGTCGTAGTGTTGGTACGCTCGCGCTCGCGTCGCTCAGCGGGCGCGCGGGGCGGCGGATGTGAGTCGAGGAAGCGAGTGTTGACGGAGTGGTGTGCAAACACCCCGCCAGTCGATGTGCTTCCACCTCGCCGTGCTCCCCGCCCCGCCCCTCGCCACTCAAGCAGTCCCCAACTTTGCACGGACCCAGCCCGGCGGCCGCGACAGGACGAGGACGTGGCTGCTTGTCTTGCCTCTCTCCTCCTGTGCGGAGTCCTCTCCTCTTGAAGGTAATGGGAAAAGAAAATGATTTGGTGTCGCGGTGCGTTCGGGTTGCGCGCGGAATTGGGAAAAGAGACCTTCTTTCCGTTCCTCCACAGCTCATATTGACGGGCCAGTCCGTGGGAGATCCGCCCCCCAAAGTGTCGTATTGACACCGAGCAGAAACGCCCTCGTCACTCTCATCATCCTGCGCCGCGGCCGCGAGATAGAGCACAGGAATGAGAGCACGTTCGCGGCCCGCCACGGCACCCCGGCTGCTGCATTTGGGACTCCCGGGCCGCCGTCGGCAGATTGAGGCGCCGCCTCCGCCGCCGCCTTTCTCTTGCTGATCCGGCCCAAAACGGATGTTTCCTTTCGAGAGGGCGCAAAGCGGCGAAGGCAAGGCGGAGTGAATCAGATAAAGCGGGCGGGGCCTCGGCTGCTGGTGAGCCTGGCGGCCCGCCGGGCGTCTTCAGCGCGGCTCTTTTACCTCTCTCACTGACACACCACTAAATCCCTGCGGAGCCCCCGGTGAGGGGGTGGGGGGCGGGCTCCAGACTCTCCCACACCTTTCACCCGTACCGCACCAATCTCTGCAATCCCCTTCTACCCCCCTCGTCCCCTTTCCACTTCTCGCTCTCGCTCTCTCACATCAGTTTCTGTTTCCGGCAACTGGCTCCTCAGCGGCAGCCCCAGCCCAAGCGGCTGGCTCCTTTGCCTCGGCGCTGTTCTACGTACCGCCCTCCTTTCCCACCTCAGTCTGATCAGCACACTGCCGACCCTCTCGTCCCCTCCCCAAAGACGTGGATCATCCAATCTATATACCTTCGGAAGCGCAGCCAGGGTTGCCACCACCGCTGCCGGGGGGTGGCAGGGACTATGGGCCACACGGCAGAGACAGCCGGCAACGCGGAAGGAGGGTTGAAGTTTGAGCCCCGCCCTGCCCCTCATATGTTGTTGTACAACACGCTCTCTTCCACCTCGGGCGATGTTGTCTGTGTCACTGCGCGCGCGCGCGCGCGTGTGTGTGTGACCCATATCCATACATTACCCGCGCTGCATTCCGTCTCGTCCCTTTTTATTTACGGCGCAAGCAGGGCGCCCCGCCATACCGCCGCCGTGCTGTGTTTCCCGCGGCTGCAGTTTTACAGCGTTGAATCTCGCGCCCGTCTCACAATTTATACCCGTGCGTGTGTGTGCTCGCGTGCCTCGAGAGGGTCCTCTTGTCTACCGCAGCAGGACACCCCCACCCCTCCTGCTCCGGGCTTAAGCGCGTCCGCTCCCGACGCCATCCTTCCTCCGTTGCCAACCGCCCGCCGCCCCCGCCCGTCCGCCCCGCGCCGCGCGCGCCAAATTAAGTTGGTAAGCCTGCGGACGCTAATTTATTGCGTCGCGTTTGGACGGCGACACATTGACCCGGCAGGGCTGCCAACCCTCCCGACGGCGGTGGCGCCCCGCTCCCTGGCCGGCTGCGATCTGCGAGGACTTCCAGGGCCGCGCTCTATTCAATGATTGGCGGCCAGATGCGTGGCTTTGTGGCGGTGAGGAGGGCGGGGTGTGTGTCGAAGTCAGACCGCAACAAGTGTTCGGACTGTATGCGGCGGGCCGCAACGTGCCTGGAATAACCGACCGGCACGATTGCAGGGGGAGTCCTGCAATAAGTCGCTCTCCTCCATCCAGAAGGGTGTCGTCCCCTCGCGCAAGTGATTGGGGTGGCCCCAGCCCTTGCCCAATTGAATACGCTGATCGGCTTTTTTTTCCTTTTTTTTCTTTTTTTTTTCGGCAGGGGCTCTATCAGGGTTGCTGCTGGTTCAGTCACGTCGGGAGGACGCCGTCGACGGGAGCCCCGGGATGTTGCTGCGCCGCCGGTGACATCGTCCTACCCTCCCGAGGTAGAGTCCGCGTGCGTCGGTGAGGCCACACACGCTTAGGTCCGCAGGTAACCCGCACCGTCTTCCCGGAGCAGGAATTTGGGGCAGCCGAGGCGGATGCGCCCGGGTAAAAGAGGGTCGTCAGCGGGGAGGGGGTGAGGGGGATGAGAAAAAAGAGGGGGCAGTAAAAGGGAGCGCGTGAGTGGCAAAAGCTGTTGGGAAAGGGGATTAAATCCCTCGTAAGGCTCGGGCCCCCCCGGCTCTGGGCCGGCTCTGCTCCGGGTCGTGGACCCCTTCGTCCTTGTCGCCGTTACACCCACTTCATTTGTAGAGCAAAGCCCCACCACGCCCCGCCACACCCTTAAAACTCTTTTCCCTCCCTCACGCTCTGCTGCTGCTGTTGCTTGAGGGATTCGCTCACGGCCGCGTCGTTGGCGAGCCCCCGGCGCCCGGCCCACCCGCGACCCCACGCCAACGGGGCGCTCGCTTGTTTGAGGGGGATCGCCGCTGTCGTGCCGCGTCCGCTCGCCTGCCGCTCCCCCGGGACAAACGGCCCCGTCTTAGTGAGCGCTGCCACGAGGGACCTCACCTACTTCATTTGTATCCCCGTCCGCGGCCGGTTGGGGCGGGGGGCGAGACCGCGGTGCCGACCGCGGAGGGACCAGGCAGCTGGGCTCGCGGCGGCGGAGGGGCCATCGTCCTCGCGTCCACCAACCCCTTCCCCCTCCTCTCTAGCCTCCTCTCTCCACATCACCCCCCTTCACCCCCACCACACCGTTTCCTTATCTTCCCTCAGTTTCACCGCGCCGCCGAAGATGACTCGCAACCGTTGGCTGCTCTGCCGCAGTGAGATGGGAATTCTGCCCCTGCCCCCCTCTCTCTCTTGGTCTCTCCTCTCTCCCTCTCTCTCTCTTCCCCCTGGTTCGGCGTGCCCGGACGGGCTGCGAGCAGGGAATCAATGTCAATAAAATTGGGTAATGGAATAATGTCTGTGCGGGCCCAACGCAGTGGCGAGGGACGCTGCCTCCGCCCGCCTCTCCCCGCCGCGCCCCGCCAGCCTCGGGGGCTCGTCTGCTAATATTGGTCCAAAAGCAGCGCGGCGGTGGCGCGGGCGGAGCAAACTGGAGGAGCCTGGCGCCATGTTGTAGCACGTCCTCTAGCACGGCCGCCGCTACACTCTGGTGTGGTTTGGGCCGGGCGGGGCGGACGGAGCGGGGTAGCGATATTCGCAGACAAGTGGAGCCCGAGGCCCGGCAGCCTGCACGGCGCGCATAGGCGCATATTGCATTTCCACGATCGCCAATACTCCCCCTCAACCCTCCCCCTCGGATCGCAACCCTCCTCTCCGCCCGAGCGAAGCGCTGCAGGCTCGGAGACGACGAGAGAGAGAGAGAGAGAGAGAGAGAGAGAGAGAAGGGCGCGGGCGAACGAAAAGATTGCAAATCTCACGCTGATTAGATATCAAAGGATACCGCGCGCAGCGAGGCGGGGTGGGGCGAGCGGTGTTGGCCCGGGGGGCCTCGGGCCGAGCGTCTTGATATTTGATCGGCGCGTGTCTGCCGGCTATGTGTATGTACGAGGAAAAGACGACGGATGGAAGGGAGAGGGGCTGGACGGACGAGGGTGAAGTGGCGGAAGGCGAAGGGGACGGGACATACAGGACGGGGCTGCACCGCGGCGCTCCGCTGCAGTTAGCCGTGTTTCACACGGTGAAAGAAAAAAATAAAAAACAACTTGAAATTCAACCAATCAAATTGCTTGAAAACTTTCTTGTAAACCAAGCAGATCGCTTGAAATCCAAGATGTAGTTTTTACAGTGCATTCCCCTCATTAGAGCTTGCGCGCCCTTCAACTTTTTATTTTTTTTTCGTTTAGTCGCGAGAATCATTACACGTAGTATAGCAGTATAGCGAGCTTGTTTGTCGCCCGGCGATGGAAAGAATTTGACGCACAAGGAAAACAAGAACAAAGAAGGAAGAAAACGAGAACTCGCGCGCTGGGCGCCGACTGGCCGCTCCGTATTGAGCACAGAGTTTTGCCTGCTCCGCGTGCTTTTGATGTGCTGCTATGGGCAATAACTTTGTGCCGGATACAGTGTCCCTCCCCGCCATCCTATATAATGAGGTCCGGATGGGCCAGGGCGCGCGGGAGAGGAGGGGAGGGGTAGAAATGATGCGATGCCAATTAATTTGGCTGCCCTGCGCTGGCCGGCCCCGCCCCGCCCCCGATGAGCGGTGCGGGTAAACAAGCTTTGCAGCGGCAGGGGCCACAATATCGCTGCTGCAAAAGCAAACACACACACACACACACACACACACACACATTCGCAAGCCGGTTGGGGGGGGGGGGCGTCGGAGACACAGAAAAAGTGCAAAACAGGCGGGGTAAATCGCTCCGAATGGCCAAGTACCGAGCAACCATATAGTTCCATAGTCTTCTCGATACGCACGGGGAAACTTTTTACAATTTTTCATTTATTTTCCACGCGACGATGACGAAGTGAAGACGCAAGTATATTGGCAGTCTTGAATAAGGAGCAGAGCAGAGGGGGTTGTTTGTTTCGTCGTCTTCTCAAATGAAAGAAAGCGAAGCGACTGTTTGAAGGGGGTGCTGCTGTTGCCACGGCCGTAGTGTGGTGGCAGCGAAGTGGAAATAAGACTTGCTTGCCGGCTGCTTCTCGCGTCTTTTGTCGAAAGAAAAGGAAGTTGTCGAGGAGAAAAGGAGGGGAGCGGGGGAGCGTTGACGGCCCGGTACGTATGGCGCTGAATGAGTGGTGAGCCGGAACAAGCGCCCCGTCGCAGGTTTGCGGGACCGGCGCCAGGACCTCACGGGTCCCCCGGGTCGCCACCGCCGTGGGCGATGATGGGGTCGGCCGGGCGGACGCACTTCAAAGCGGCGCGCCCTGCAGGGCCGGGAGAGCCCTGCCGTCGTGCCCCTCTGGTGCTGCCCACGGCCCGGCAGGGTGGCGCGCTTGCCCTGCCGCGACATGCCCTTGGAGCCTTCACGCCCCGAGAGAGAGTGAGAGGGAGTCGATCCCTTTGTCGGTGAAGCGTATTAGGCTGCCAGACCGTCGCCCCCCCCCCCCTTTTTCCCCTCTCTTTCCACCGGACTCTATCGTTCGTGCCCGCGTGCTGGTAGTGTTTTATTTTTGCGAATTATTAAACGTGGAATGGAATTTTACCGCCTTTTATTCTTCCTCTTTTGGCCGGGTCCACCTCGCGCTTGATGGGAGCGCCACCGCCGTCGCCTGCCGACTGCTGGCGTTTCGCCGTTTCGCGGGAATATTTTATTTTCGGCGGAGGTCGGCAAAGTAGCGTCGCGTCGCGCTCCCCAATGGCGCGCCTCGCCTGCCCCGCCCGCCGTGATAACGGCCCACCACCTTTTTATGGCGCTTCTCGCGAGTGAGTCGCTCGTTTGCCACGCGGGACGCGAGCGGCGGCGGCGGCCGTCGCTTCAGAAGAGTCGGTCGTCGTGATAAGTTTGGTGGCGTAGAGGCCATTCCCAAAGTGTGTAACATGCTAATACACCCCACTTCCCCCACCCTGTTTGACGCTGCGCGATGCGTATGTGCGATTTGTGTGTGGCGCGCGTCATTATTATTATGACTTTGATTTTGTTTTTACTGTTGCAGAGGAGTCACTGAGTGCGCGCGCGGCTTATGCAACACAAAGTCCATTCCATGGGTCCCATACGCAAATAATCTCCGCAGCCGTTTTGTGTGTGCGAGTTTTCGACTGTCCCGAACCAAAACAAACAATACCCCCCCAGGGCGGCACACTATGATTACACCGCACTGCAGGAGCCCGCCATAATTAATGTTCCAGGGACAGGCCGGGCAGCCCTCTGATTAGAACAGATCAGGATGTATGATGCTCCTGATCACAGAGGCGCAGGTCTGGCCTGCCCTGAGCCACCCCCTCCCCTCTCAATCCCACCCTCCGGGCACTACTGCTTTACCGCACGATAACACAAACGCATCTGCACACACACACATCTGTACATACACGCACGTTGCCAATGTGTGCGACAACACACTACTAGTCAGACCGCAGCCCGCCCCTCCCTCCCGGCGTCGCCCCGCGAACGCCGTCGTCATCGTGTTGATCGCGTCATTATCGGGTCATCTGGGAGGGTATCGATGTCGTCCTCGTCATCATCATCGTCGTCATCGTCACCCCTGCTAGCATCCCCTGCTGCTGATTGCGGTGCACCTCATCACCAGGAGCGTCCCCCGCCAGCCCCTCTCATAGGCAGAGACACTCTGAGGAGGCGCACGGTCTAGAGGGCTCCTTGACGAGCGGCCGAGCAGGAGTGTCCCGCCGTGTCTCCGCGCCGGCCGCTCTAATCTATGGGATTAATTATGGCGCGCGTTGACCAGGAGAGTCCCCCCCCCCCTTCTTGTCCGGGGCCGCCGGGCAGGCTGCGTCGGGATGCTGGCTGCATCCTAATCGCACACTGACGCAGTGCAACAGCCCGCTGGCGCCTGCCTTGTTTATACGGAATAAGGCCTGGGAAGCGCGATTTATTTTATCGAACTGTGCAAGTCAAATTGTTCCTGTTTTGGAGTGGCCCCTCTCCTTGAGCATTCCTCAAGAGTTTGAACACACAAAATGAAAACTTCTACATTTTTACATTTAGGGGTGTTCCGTGTACCGATATGTAAAATAAAAGCATTTGCTCATGATTTGCGATTACGGGATTAGACAGAACTTCTAGCTTGTTTTTAAGGTAGCTCAAACTGTCGGAACACCCTTTTGTACAGTACAGTGCTCCCACCCCCACCTGCCAGAAATAAATTGTTGTTGCCACTAAAAGTTAAAGGTTGCCACTGTTATTCAAATACTGTGACGTCACATTCAATATAATGTAAATGGTGTCACATTCTTCGGAATATCATGTCACATTCGTTAAAACGTGACATGCCCGTGCATCGCTCTGCCATCAGGCTCTGTCAGTGAATGGTAGGCAGGCGTAGTACCTATGGTCACGTTACAATGAATGTGACACGGTTTCTAGGGAACGTGACACAATTCACATTGTATTGAACGTGACGTCACAGTCACTGATAGACTTGGTGTTAACTGCTCAACACTTGGAAGTATGCAACAGCAAGTTAAGTACTTGGAAGTGTGCATCTGTAAGTTGAATACGTGCCAGTGTTCAACTCGGTAGGTGTGCGTGTGCACACTTGCAAGTGCACACCTACCGAGCTGAACACTTGCAAATGGACCACAACGGACTTGCACACTTGCAAGTATTCAACTTATTGGGGTTGCACACTTACAAGTGTTGAGTAGTTCAACTCTCAGTTTATCAGTGTATTCTAAATAACAGTGTGAAGAAAATTTATCAGTGTGTCTCTTTGCTGCTTTCGTACTCTTATAATAACTGTTCGATTCTTTTTCCAGAGTATATTTTCTACTGCCGAGCTTCGGACCAGAGCTCTGCAAAAGTCCCCTCACCGACCGACCGAGCTGACCGGCAGGCGGGTCGGCACCGACCGCGTGCAGGT